TGAAGGACAGGGGTCGTCTTCGCGACCAGGTGCGTGCGGAAAATACCCTGCGTAGCGTCAAAGCAGTCGGTAAACTGCATTACAAGCATGGTCCAAACAACTGTTGTGCTTCGCCATGTATTTGTTCGTGCAGCAGCAGTTGGTCCCCCGGGGTATTCTGGTGGAGGTGAGCGCAAGACGGATGCCTCCGTAGAGTCTGAACATTCCGCTCTGAGCTGCAGCAAAACTAGCAAGGTAGGCTGCATCCCTAATAACTCCTGTTTGTTATTATGAGTTGAGTTCGCGCAGGACCTGACTGGCACCGGTGGCCTTCACAAACAGGTGCGTGCAGAATAAACCTTCGTAGCGTCAAAGCAGTCGGCGAATTGCGTGATAAACCGGGTCGAAACCACTACTGTGTGCTGCCACATATTTGTCCCTGCAGCACTTGGCGGTCCGGCAGCATATCCTGTACGAGGTGAGCGCAGGAACGATGCATCTGCATAGTCTGAACAATCCACCATACGCTGCATCAAAACTAACAAGGTGGACTGCATCCCTATTACCTACTGTTTGCTGTTATGACTGTTGTCCCTGCAGGTGAAGGACAGGGGTCGTCTTCGCGACCAGGTGCGTACGGAAAATACCCTGCATACCGCCAAAGCAGTCCGCGAATTGCGTGATAAGCAGGGGCAAGACAACGATTATTTTGCTGCTGTCGTCTTTGTCCTTGCAGCTAGTGGCAGTCACGAGGGACGCTCCGGGAGAGGTGCGTGTAGGATAAATGCCAGTGTAAAGTTCGACGCGCCCGCAATAAGCCGCATCAAAATCGATTACTGCTAGCGTTGGCGGTTCTGCAGACAGGTAGCGAACTAACTATTTGGGTTGTCTGGACGCCGGATAACCGCCTTGAGCTGTTATGGCTGTTGTTCTTGCAGGGGGTGCGCGACAAGATCCGCCTGCTCGAACACGTACGTGCACAAGAGAGCCTCGGTAGCATCAAAGCAATCAGTGGAACCCTTGATAAGCTGGATAAAACAAACTACTTATTGCTGCCATTGTGTTTGTCCTTGCAGCAAGAGGCGGTCAACCGGCTCGTTCTGGTGGAGGTGCGTGTAGATTATATGGCTCCTTGGGGTCCGAGCTACCGAGCGAATAGCGTGATATGTTGAATGCTTGCTGTTCTGCTTGCGTAGAGCGCGGTCACCTGTCACGCGTGTTCCATGATGCGCCACCTCTTGAGCCTGCTAGCTGTGGTGGTTTGTTACGTTCCTTACCATGCTCGGGTAGCGGATAGCAGGGGGATCATAACTGACAACTAGAAAGCACCTTTGGTAGCTCATGTGGACGGCTATTTTTAATGCACGTTCTGGTCCTGGGGGTGCCGTGCGAGCTAGTTCTAGGGTGTTTGGTGATATATCTGCTCTTTATTTTGATGAGTGTGCATGTTCTGCTTTTCGCTTTGCACCCGCTACACAGGGCCGGCCACGGCAGCCGCCGCCGAGTGAGTTTACCGCTACTGTCTACTTATGTCGGCGTTTTTTCATAGAACAAGCGTATCTGTTCTTTGGCATTTAAGTTGGAAATATAGGTAAAGTCGTGCCTTACACTACCACATATCGGCGAAGAATTCATGACTCTGTGTGACATTTCTGCTTGCAGAACGTAGTTCGCATCGGGATTGATGACCTGTTTGAAGGACCGTCTCCCCAAGCCTACGCAAATACTGTACTTGATGCGCTGTGTCAAACTGACACATAAGCGACACCTACACTTACGGGCGATAGAACAACCCCATTCACTTGAGAACTTATGATTACGGGCCATTCTCGATCTGCCCTTGTAGTTTTTTAGTGCAGTGTGCCAAGACTGGGGATATTTGCGGACCGAATAGGGACGTTGCCCCAAAGTAACGCTGGGCCCAGAAGCGCTGGTTCATGCGTTTTTTTATTTACAAGAATGTGATTTGTGTTTCACCTTCAACTACGGTCAGAACACGCGGACGATTGAAAGGTTAAGAGTGTTTGGTGACCTCGGAGCTGTCGAAGCAGCTGTTTCTCCGACAGAGCAGAAACTACTGCTTGGCATTGGTTGCCAGTAGTGGTGTCATTTGTAAAATTCGGGAGCCTAGGCTTCTGACGGTGTAACCGCTGGCCATTTCGAACACCAGTAGCCGCAGAATTTGGCAAAGCCGTATAACAGTGACGCATATTCATTTACCCTGCCCAGTGTTTGGCTGAATGGGGCGTTTCACTACTTGGGATTGTTCCGCTGAATTGGACGTTTTACTACTGAAAAGGCCGAGCGAAAGCTGTTCGACTCGCTTTTGTCTGCAGCCTAGAAAATCACCTTTGCAGCTGATTTAGCGCATCGTGCCACTGTGCCATTTCAAAAAGCAGCATTTGCCTTATATGCAAGCCGACGTTCGCTCCTTCTCGCGCAGCATCATGCAACGGCTCAACACTGACCCCAACATGACCACCGCCAACCATCCGGAGGCAGACTGTCAGACCGGACGAACTAACTGCACGCTGGTACAGTACCTGCGACTTTGTACCCAACAGAACTCATCTAACTTGCTTGAATTTCTTGCTTCTGCAGAGTGGGTTTATAACACTATTGTGAGAAACTCCCCTTCAGAAACGCCAGTCTAAGGGGAGTTCGGGGCCTTTGGGATCATGTGGCCCTCGGAACCTGATCCTACTCACGTCAGTAGATGCACTAGTCCCATCCAGCAGCTGTGCGCCTTGTGCCCCCAACGACAACACAAACGCAGATGAAAAACACAATTGTGAGGCGCAAAATGGATCCACGTTCCCTCAGACGATGGGGAGATGAAATTCCATAGCACTCTATGTAACATGAGTTAGCGCAGAGTTAGCTCTGGAGCCTATCGACGGCTTTGGCATGCTGCGCGTAAGCGCCTGCAAACGTTATACGAGTTCGTTACGAGGCAAAGCATGCAGCAAAGGAAGCTTCCCTGAAGCTTCCTTTAGTACACGCGCGGGGCTGGCTTGCTCTGCCAGCCGCAGCGGGGTGCGCTGCAACCCCATTTCGGGCTGCCTCCT